GTATCAGCCACTCCTCCCAGTTTTGTGTCATGAGCGAACTTGTTGATGGTACACTCTGTCCCCTTGTCCAGGTCATTGATGAACAAATTGAACAAGGCTGGGCCAAGTACTAATCCCTGGGGAACTCCGCTAGCTACTGGACTCTGCCCTGCCAATCAGAACCCTCTGAGACCTGTCATTCAGCCAGTTCCCAATCCACCTCACTGTCTGCTCATCTAACCCACACTTCTTGAGCTTCCCTGTGAGGATGTTATGGGAGACAGTGTCAAAAGCCTTGCTGAAGTCAAGGTAGACAACATCTGCTGCTCTTTCCTCATCTACCCAGCCAGTCATGCCATCATAGAAGGCTATCAGATTGGTCAGGCATGATTTCCCCTTGGTGAATCCGTGCTGGGTACTCCTGATGATCTTCCTTTCCTCTACTTGCTTGGAGGGGACACCCAGAAGAATGAGTTGTTCCATCACCTTTCCAGGGATGGAGGTGAGACTAACTGGCCTGTAGTTCCCTGGGTCCATTTCTATAATTTTTGTTTCATTTTTACCTAGTTTTCACTGGGTTGACTTTGTATGTATAACAGATGGATGTAGATGCTTGTCTTAGGCTGGACGGAACAGAAGTTGTGAAGTTTCAAAAACTTTTCTGAGAAAACCTTTAAAATGTCTCACCGAAACAAAAAAAAACAACATATTTTGAAACTAGGAGGAAGATTTTGGTTTGTTTTCCTAAAGTAAACCAAAATAGCAAACATATTTTCTTCCAGGGATGAGGGAATTGTCAGGTTTGTAATTGAGAAATTAGAGGGAGGGGGACATAACAGGCTGAAGTTCAGCTGCAATTCCAAATTATCTGTGGTCTCTATACTATATGCTCCTTCTTTTGATCTCTCTGGTGCCAAGATTATCTTTTTAAATCACCAGTGTCTTTAGCAGTTTCAGAAAGAGTTTTGGTTTCATTCTCAAAAAAAAAAAAAAAAAAAAAAAAAAAAAAAAAAGGTAGAACTGCAAAGCAACTTCAGGGAGCTTCGAGTTCCACCAAAATTGAGAGTAATTACAGTGGTGCACAACAGCTGGGAAATACGTGCTTTTCTGTATCTGAAGTCTTGTAATGGGCTTGTCCCATTGACCTCATGGGAAGCATATCAGCTTGTTCATGGAATATGTATTTGAGTGTTATGGGGGTTTTACCACTCACTTTTGCACTCAGATAATACAAAGATTATTATTATTATTATTATCATCATCATCTTCTTCTTCAGGGTTTTGGTTCTCATATTGGTTTCCTGTCAAACACTTCAGATATGTATTTTTGGTTTGGTTTTCAGCTGCCTAAATATATCCTTAAACCAAACCAAAGTCAGTTAACATAAACTGTGCAAAAAGCTTTGTAACTGTCAGTGAAAATAAGTTATTCTGTAAATGTTGAGTGTACAAAAGCATTACCAGGAAGTTAGTGTCATTGAAAAAGGACTGGTTTGGATTACTTGAAAAACTTCATTTTGATTTTATGATGGTAAAATCATTTGAGTATGATGCAGTGAACTGATATATTTGAATATATCACTATATCCTCTGAAGCCGACATATCTGATTCTAGCAAAACTTCCCAGTCCAATCACATTTGAATTCTCTATTGCTGAAAACAACTAACTTCACGTAAGTAATCTCTGCAGTTTTAACTGTGGTATACGTAAAACTTCTGGATGCTAGTTACCACTTCTGCAAGCTATGGAGTCTCCTGAGAAGAGATCTGTGTCAGAAATAGTAGTTGCTGGTACGTGCATCACTGATGTGCCGAGTAAAGTATCATGTAAAATATATTTAGCCATACTTTGTTGGCATCTAGGAGGCCTAGTTATTGGTTCACATTCCCAGTATGCTATTTTGCAGTCTCCTAATAAATAAGTCATTGCCTGAAAGACCTTACAGTCTAAGCCTCCAACCTTGCACATAGTTACATGAATGCTGAAATTTTCTACTTTGAATAGTCCCATTCTTCGAAGTCAGTGGTTTCAAAACAGTCCATTATTTTTCTTTAAAAACAAAAAGGGAGTTTGTGGCTGTATAGTGGATTTGTATGAAGGCTCCCATATTTCTGTGAGCATTGCCCTACTTTGAATGGTCTACCTGGGCTTTACATGAGCAGTAAATTCAACTAATTCATCCTGAAGTTATTCATTTACTGGGCATGTCTGATTTCCAGGTGTCAGCTGACTATCAAGTCAAACTGTCATAGAACCAGAAATCCTGTACAAGTACAGAAGGTATTAAGAATGTGTTAGAGCAAAAAGTTTAGTTGGATGAGGAGGCCATATCTGGGGGCAAAGCAAGTCCATGGCAGCAGGCTTTGTGGTCAAACAAGACATGTGAAATGTCTGTGGCTTTTATTTAGTTTTTTCCCCTCATTCTAGGGAATTGGCATCTTTCTTCCATCATGCAACCTGATATGTTAGGTATGTTCTCCAGAAAGCATTTTTAAAGTCTGCTACTGCCTCAAGATCAGTACAGTAGGCCCAAACTATTGCATATTGTATAACTAAAAACAAATTAACTGGAATTGCTCTAAATTAAAAAAAAAAAAAGGAAGCCTCAGAGAGAAGAGTTAAGCATACACTAAGAAGTTTATTGAAGCTAAGTATAGGACAATAGTCAAATAAAGAGGACAAGACAGACAAAAAGCGTACCTAGAGAGTGATACCCCAGGCGCAAACATCCTCAGCTGTAAGCATGTGAATTAATTTATTACTGCAAAAATAAATTGGAAAACATTTATTTATTACGTTCAATATTGTCAATTATAATAATAGCAAGGTGACTTTAGCCTGCTTGTATTTAACTCAAACCTAGAGAAACTAGGACACCTGAAAAAAGGAAAGCAAGGCCTGCTGCAGGAAAACAAAATAGTGGAAGCAGACAAAAGCAGAGGCTACTTTGAACTCTGAATGAAACTCAACAGAAGTTGAAA